AGTTAAGTTGAATAAGTTAATTTTTTGTAAAAAAGTTGTCATTTTGAATCCCTCTTGTAGGCAGGCAAAGGGTCAGATTTATAAAAAAAATTAACCAAAAGAAAGGTAAAGACATCATGCATCTATAAAAAAATTTATATAGATTCGGCCATTTTTAGAAATTTAATGCACTTTTAAGTAAAAAAAAATTTTAAAATGTCAAAAATTAGCGATTTTTACATTTGTAATTTTTTGGAGGATTTCCCCCATTAACAGGGTACGAGAGAAACGTTTTCAATTTTTGAAGATAATGTCTTACTAGATGCGATTTTTGATCTTTTGATGTTATGTTCATCAAAATCGGTCCAGCGAAAGCTGAGATTAAGCGTTCACAGATATAAAAAAATATTTAAAAAATATTTTTTTAATTCAAAATTACAGAATCTATAAATTAATAAAAATACCCCCTTAATTACCAACTCCCCCTAACAACTCTTTTAGTATACCCCCTTAATTACCAACTCCTCCTAACTACTCTTTTAGTTTACCCCTTAATTAATAACTCCTCCTAACTACTCTTTTAGTATACCCCTAATTAATAACTCCTCCTAACTACTCTTTTAGTTTACCCCCTTAATTAATAACTCCTCCTAACTACTTTTTTATTATACCCCCTTAATTAATAACTCCTCCTAACTACTTTTTTATTATACCCCCTTAATTAATAACTCCTCCTAACTACTCTTTTAGTATACCCCCTTAATTACCAATTTCTTTTTCAACTTTTCGCGCTGTTTTTAAATCTCTAATTAGACGTTTTCTATCACTTCTAAGTTTTGATAGAATTACTCATTATTAAAAAATAAGTATTGACATAAAAAAAAATTGTTTTAAATTAATACTGATTTTAATTATTAATATGTTAAAAATATGAAAAATGACATATTTAACCTTTATTAATCTTTTATGGTTGATTTTTGTGAAAGTTTATAATAAAAAAAACAATAGATGATTTTTTCAGATAGTCATTGAGTATGACTGATGGTAATGAACAGATAAATATAAAAAAAAACCCAGCACAGTGAGGTCGTGGCACAGTGGGGACATTGCATAGTAGGGTCCAGTATAGATTTAATCTGACAGTGATTAAAATCACTATCATAAGAAACGCTTCGATGCAAATCTGTAGATAGTGTTTAATTCTAAAAAATTGGTGGATTATTACAAAAGCAACAACAACTTTTACTACCTTAATTATATCCAGATTATTTCAAATCGCCCCTTGTGAGCAGTTTAAGTGTTAGATTTTCAAATAAATGATATCAAATAAAATGAAATTATGTAAGGTTTCAATATAAAAAATATTACTTTGATTTGTTAATATTTGAAAAAGTTATGGCAGTTTTAAGTACAAAACACATCCATATAAAAAAACATATAAAAGTACAAAAAGACATAGGTGATTTTTATCGCAAACATTACATTTTTTGTTGAATTTCGGCAGCCATTTGCATATAGAAGATAAGGTGTCGGGACAATTTTTTTTTTTCATTTTATAAAACATAACATAACCTTTGATTTGATATATGTTTAAAGGACGCAGTATTTCCAGAACATTTTCAAAAGTTAAGTTGAAAAAGTTAGTTTTTGTAAAAAAGTTACTATTTGAATCCCTCCTTGTGAGTAGTTTAAGTGTTCGATTTTCAAAAAAATAATATCAAATGAAAGGTGAATATCTAAGGTTTTAGTATAAAAAAAAATTATGTTGATTTGTTGATTTTTGAAAATGTTATGGAAGTTTTAAGAAAAAAAAGACAAAATTTACCGATTTTTAAATTTGTAATTTTTTTTGGATATTTCCCCCATTTGCGGGGAACGAGGGAAAATTTTTCAATTTTTAAGGGTAATGTCTTCAACTAGATACGATTTGTGATCTTTTGACGATTTTTTGAAAGAAATCTGTCCAGTGAGAGCTGAAAAAAAGTAGTGACAGACACAAAAAATAAATAAATAGACACATCATGGTAAAATTAATTAATACCTTCTCAGCTTCGCATCGAAGCTAAAAAGTAATATTCCGATGTTCAATATTTTTGTCATCTTCATTAATATTCTACTATAACAATACTATTTAGAGAAATATTTTCTGCAATAGTGATCTGTAAACATTAGTATAATAATATTTATTATACATGTCCATTTTATTCTTTTGTTTTATATTTTTTTTTTGATGGAGTACAATAGTAGTTACACTACGACTACATTAAATAGGACATCACCGAATTTTTGTTGCTAGTTTAATGAAATAAAAAAAAATATTACTAATCAATAACTTGTTTACTTTAAAATTGGAAGTTAGAAAAAGGTACTCATAAGTACTTGATAATGTGAACATTATAATACTTTTATTATTATTGTGCACTCTAGCGGTTGATTAAATATAATTATTATTCTAGTAAGAGCGTAAAGGGAGCGTTAAAGTGTTACTTTTCGACATTCAGTATATTATAAGAAATATTAAATTAATAAGATTTCTATTTGTTTTTATAGTTGAAATTATTTTGAATTTATACATTGCATGAAAATTTAATGGTAACTTAAAAGTTATATTTTATTTAAAATCGTTATTTTGTGATCTTTTGGTAATCTCGAGCCAAAATTACCAATTAACGATATTAGTTTAATCACATCAACTAAAAAAAATGTCCGTTAATTTTTACATCTAATAGATACTTTTATCATATGTGCTGGCCCAAAATATAAAATATTATCTACATAGTTAAAAAAAATTTCCATTTTATATATATTTTTTGTAGTAAAGAAAATTTTCCAAAATTCTTAAGTATGCATAAATTTAGATAAAATTAATTTTAATCACTTTAACAGCAACCAATTCTCAAACTTAATTATACATTCCTGCTGAAAAAATGATTTTAAATGAATAGAGTGTTAGTATTTAACAGTATTTTTAGAAACATATCTAAAGAATTTATAAAAATTAATCAAAATATTTTATAGTTTTAAAATTATTTTAGCTTCGATGCGAAGCTGAGAAGGTATTAATTTTACTTTAATTTTTTTTTTTTATGTCTGTTGCCACTTTATCTCAGCTCTCACTGGACAGATTTCTTTCAAAAATTCGTCAAAAGATCACAAATCGTATCTAGTTGAAGACATTACCCTTAAAAATTGAAAAATTTTCCCTCGTTCCCCGCAATTGGGGGAAATATCCAAAAAAAATTACAAATTTAAAAATCGGTAAATTTTGTCTTTTTTTTCTTAAAACTTCCATAACATTTTCAAAAATCAACAAATCAACATAATTTTTTTTTATACTAAAACCTTAGATATTCACCTTTCATTTGATATTATTTTTTTGAAAATCTAACATTTAAACTACTCACAAGGAGGGATTCAAATAGTAACTTTTTTACAAAAACTAACTTTTTCAACTTAATTTTTGAAAATGTTCCGGAAATACTGCGTCCTTTAAACATATATCAAATTAAAGCTTATTTTATGTACTACAAAATGAAAAAAAATTTGTCCCGACACTTTATCTTCTGCATGTAAACGTCTGTCGTAGTTAAAAAAACGCTATTTTTGTGTTAAAATTTTCGATTTTAAATTTTCAACTTAAAAATTCTAGAACTTTTCGAAAAATGAAATTATCAGCACAAATTTTTTTTTCTAAATACATTAGAAGTACATCTTTCATTTAACATACTTTTTATTAAAATTGGACAATTTCCCCATATATAGGGGCGTTCAAAACTTGAAACATTGTATAAAAAATAGAACTTTTTCAACTTAACTTTTGAAAATGTTCCGGAAATACTGAGTCCTTTAAACATATGTCAAATTAAAGCTTATGTCATGTACTACAAAATTTAAAAAAAAAATTTGTCCCGACGACCTATCTTCTATGTGCAAATGGCTACCGTATTCAAAAATATGCTATTTTTGTGTTAAAATCCTGGGTTTTGTATTTTAATTTATTTTAAAATATCTTATAAGGGTAATACACTGCCCTATTTTTTTATAATTATTATTTTTGTAATAGGCTAAATTGAATAACTTTTTTTTTATTGGTTTTTTTAGATATATAATCATTAAAATTAATTAAATTCTGAATATTTCCATTGTAGAATCTTTTTAAACGCCAAAAATTAATTAGAAATGATAACTATGATTTTTAATTAAGTGATCTATTACGATAAAAATGTAACAAAATCTAACTTTTCTGATAAATATACTGTAAATAGTAATTATAAAATTTGCTGACAGCATATTAATTTTAACAATTTCATTTTTATCTATTTAATAATGTCAATTTCAAACTTGCAAATTGTTATGGTAATAAATTCATTTTTTTTTTTTAATAAAACTTTCACTTTAAAGGACAGTAAAAAATAGGTTCAAAATTATTACTTTTAACATATTAAAAATCAAAATCAATAATAATTTGAAAACAATTAATTTTAAAAATTATATAATATATAATTAAAAGAATTACTAATCTGGGTATAATTAAGGAAATAGAAGTTGATGTTGCTTTTGTAATTATCCATCAATTTTTTAAAATTAAACACTATCTACAGATTTGCATCGAAGCGTTTCTTATGATAGTGATTTTAATCACTGTCAGATTAAATCTATACTGGACCCNGGCTACCATATTGAAAAATATACTATTTTTGTATGATAATTATGGGTTTTGTATTTTATTTTAATAGAAGTTGATGTTGCTTTTGTAATTATCCATCAATTTTTTTAAATTAAACACTATCTACAGATTTGCATCGAAGCGTTTCTTATGATAGTGATTTTAATCACTGTCAGATTAAATCTATACTGGACCCAACTATGCAACGTCTCCATTATGCCACGACCCCACCGTACTATTTTTTTTATTTTATATACACAATTATATTTAATATTTTTTACTTTTATATTTTAATACAAGCATTTCAAATAAAAAACATGAATAATGTAAAAATTAAATAAGTAATAAAAAAACAATTTTTAAAATAATTATATTTTTACAAAATATTACATTTATACAAGAATGTGTACATTACATAAATATTTCAATTATAAATTCATTATCATAACAATGTTATATAATATTATGTACAAAATATAACACAGAAAAATATCACTTCCACTGAACTGGTTCAAAATTCCATTTTTGACTAGCATGATCAGTACAATCTTTAAGGACAATACTTGATTCTTTAGATGGCATGTCCAAACACAAGTCTGTCTCGATGTGTTTTAAATTCATAGTCTAAACCAAAAAATCAAATTTAACATTATTGATGCAGATTATCAATCAAACATTCAAACTCATATTTTAGTACCTCAGAGTTATACAACCAATTTTGCCGCTTTTGACCAGTACATGCAACAATTCTTACTTTTAATGCTACAACAGTTGTTTCTAAATCTGGTGTATCTAAACACACAGACTCATCGGTCATTAGAGCACCAGACCATATATTTGAATTTATACCCTCCTTAGGTTCCATAACAAACATAAGTGACAAAGAAGGTCGTCCTTGAACATCACAAGAACTAATCAATACAGGACCTATGGGTTGATTTAAAGAGCCTCGTCCTGTTGGTTTTTCTAAACAACGATTTGACAAAACATGTTTAACCTAAAATAATATTTAAAAATATATGTATTAAATGTATTGGAGAACAAGAGTAAAGGAGTAGAATACAGGGCCTAATAATATGAAGAATTAACGCAATTAGCGCACGATGAATTAAAGAAGAAGACAAGAATGATCCATAATCTTCCTTTAACTGAATTTAATTGAAAATAAGATATAATAAAGAAAGACGTGAACCCCAAAAGGTTCTATAATACATCTTAAAAAGTTGACCCAGCGAGAAATAAAAGATAAAAGCCATTGAAATTAAGGAAGCCAAAGGCGTCTAGGATCTAAAACTACAAATAAAATGTAGAATAACCGAGAAAAAGAAGTTGAATTATTTCTGATGAGTAAATAACATTAATTTGCTTTTGTAAGGAAATACTTTAATAAATGAAAAATGTAACGTTTCTGAAGGATAGAAAGAAACATATTAAAATTTAAGATGACATTGAAGGGTGTTTAGGGAATTGAAAAGAGTACTATATCATCAGCATAAACGAAGATTGAGTTTTGTTAATTTGTTAATGCTAAATTTATACTGCACATGCATACAGGGTGGCCCACCACTCACTGACAACTTAAATAACTTTTGATCCAGTTAATATTTTTAGTTGATTTTTTTTTTTAAATAATATTTATAGGTTAGGTCTATAGCTATATCTCAATAATTAATTTTTTTACATTTTATTAAAAATATTAATTATTTTAAAATTTTAAATAAAATGTAAAAAAAAAATTTAAGATAGCTATTTTGTAGAGTAGAATTTAAGAAAAATTTTAGTAAAAAAATATCTTATTAATATTCAGTAGTAAATATTCTGTAGCGTTTTGAAGTTTGTAAAAATTTGTATTTTCATGTACTATTTTACGGTTATAAACATTGAAATACGTATTGAGAAAAGGACAGAAGAAAACGCTATCTTTTCATGATTACTGTGTATACATATGATGATAGTGTGTATACATTACAAACTTGGCATTAATACCATGATAAGAAATTAGATAAGGCAATTATTACTTATCACTCTCATTCAAAAGTATATTGAAAAGATATCGTTTTCTTCTGTCCTTTTCTCAATACGTATTTCAATGTTTATAACCGTAAAATAGTACATGAAAATTCAAATTTTTACAAACTTCAAAACGCTACAGAATATTTACTACTGAATATTAATAAGATATTTTTTTACTAAAATTTTTCTTAAATTCTACTCTACAAAATAGCTATCTTAGATTTTTTTTTTACATTTTATTTAAAATTTAAAAATAATTAATATTTTTAATAAAATGTAAAAAAATTAATTATTGAGATATAGCTATAGACCTAACGTATAACTATTATTTAAAAAAAAAATCAACTAAAAATATTAACTGGATCAAAAGTTATTTAAGTTGTCAGTGAGTGGTGGGCCACCCTGTATATATATTAAAACAAATGAGGGCTCATACAGCTATCTTGAGGGAAACCGCGGTATGATATACGATACACATAAGAACCAGATGGGATAGTGAGAAAACGGCAACTATATGAGATTAGTGAGAAAATTAAAATACAAATTAAGGGTAGTAAAAAAAATGATAGAAGACTACATTGTAGTAAAACCATTATGATATCAACAAATAATGTTTATTATGAGGTCAACAAATTATGCTTACTATGATGTCATTAAATTTTTGGAAAAAAATAAGGATCAGCAAACAACGTAGAATAAATAGGGTACCAAATTAAGAAAGGGAATTGACTGACGAAGATGGTTTGACCACGGCCGTTTCCGTCGCCGTTAGTTTTATATTCGTACGGGCGTTATTGAATTTATTTTTTGATTATTATTTTGTATGTGTTATCATTATATTAGAAATACAATTATTTTTTAAATGTTAAAAAGACTTTTTATTGATATTAATTTATTAAATTTCATTATTTTATTATTGTGTGTGTGGCTAGAATTAAATTCGGGTTGCTGGTCCTTCAGTTAATGCCAATAGTCAATATAGGAGGCGGCTAGTCTCTGGGCTAAACCATCCATTAGTTAATAGAGTGAAAAGGTAGTTGTGCTGGTATCAATCAAAGGGATACCCTTCAGTCTGCTACTCTTGAACTAAACTGTGCTAACAAGTTTGTAGGTTATTCCTTGTCATTTTCTGCTCATGTTTATGATAATCGACACTTTTTCTCAGCTCTCACCAGGCTAATTTCTTTCAAAGTTACACCACAAGACTGCAAGTCACATCAAGTTGAAGATATGGTCCTTAAAAATTAAAAAATGTCCTCATTCTGTATAAATAAGAGTGATCTCCAAAAGTTACAATTTTTAAAATCGGTAATTTTTTTCTTGCTCTATCATAACTTTTTTAAAAATAAACGAATCAAAATATACTTGGAGAGCCAAAAAAGCAAAATTATTATTAAATAGTAAAACTTATTTATTTTGTGTGTGCTCTGGTATTTATGCCAGGAGAAGCTGACATATAACAATATTTATAATTTATCTTCGACTAGATACGATTTGTGATCTTTTGACGTATCGTTGAAAGAAATTCGTTCTGTGTGAGCTGAGAAAAAGTAGTAACAAACACAAAAAAAAAACATCATAGTAAAACCAATACCTTCGCATCGAAGCTAATAAAGACCAATTATCCTTTAAAACATTAAATTTTGGGGTATGTGAATTAAGTAAGGAAGGTTGATATTGGGTTGAAAAGTTTAAATAAATTATTATTATGGGGCAACGATTACAATCGTAAATACAGTTAAGTGTACGCAAAAAAAACTTCAAAAGAAATTAGAGAGTGTTATAATATCAAATAGTATTTATACAAGAAAAATAATTTAATTATGTAGGTTCTCTATTATTAAAAACACATAACAAAATATTACAATATTTTATTATTATTTAATTCATTATCAATCATTAGTATAAATAACTAGGACTGAGAATTATATGTATTTATAACTTTTGTTTCGTAGAAATATTTGTCGTTTCAAGGGAGGTTAAACCCTTAATTATCCCTTTATATCTTTGGTAACAATACATTACTGAGTTTTCGAGTCAATCAATTACGATTTGTAAAGACTGATGGTGTGATCAGACTAACTTAAAACAAATTTTAAGACATACAATTCTTAATAGATGAAAAAATTACCTTAAAAGTTAACTATTGAAAATATAATGAGTAATGACGGTTATATCTCCCCGTATTATAAAATTGTCAAATACTAAACTAAGGACTTTATTTATTAGATTATAGGGTGAATTAAAATAGGGATATATAATATACAGAGTGTTCAGTAAGTCAGGAAACGGGTTTCTATTGTTCTCATTGTTTGTAACAATGTATATTATTTATAACACCCTGTATATTATTTAATTCCATATATATATATATATATATATATATATATATATATATATATATGGAACAAATACGTAAAGCAGTAGAGCAATTAAGAAATGATTTAATTTAATTATTAATACTTTAATAATTGTGGAAAAAAGGACGTATGAGAAGAAGAATGTTTACAGCAAAGTTAGGGTTATTATTAAGATTACATGGCTGAGTTTTAAGTTTATTATTTTTTATATTTTTACAGACTATTTAGTTATATCAGAAAATTAAAACGTATTATTTGTAGTTCCTAAACGCTTTATTCGTTAAGTTTCTAAAAAAAATACTTAAATTAAAATTTTTAATAATTTTAATTTAAAAATATTAAATTAAAAAATTATATATAATAAAATAATGATAATAATGAAAATGAAAACTATGGAATATTACATTAAAAAAATGTATAACAAAAAAAATATCCTTATTATATTTAACTATTTCTTAGCTTATTATACTCTATTATTTCTTATCTTATCTTATATCATTAAATTTCTATTTATTTAGTATATTTTTAAAATTACCTTTCCAAAAAAACGCTTGTCCGTAGGCATAAAATGTTCAGGCCAGACATTATCTAAATACCATTTAAACCCTTTGCATTGTAGTTGTTCTCTAAGTTCTAATCTTGTTCTTATTTGTTGTTCATCTTTTAATTTCTCAGCTTCTATTTGAAATTCATTAAATAAACAATAAATTAATAATTACAAATAATTTTTAAATTGGTAAAGAAAACATTAGAATTTAGAATGTATTATTATTGATTAACCAGGATTAAATTTGAAGTAAAAATCTTGCCATTCGTCCATCCAAACCAGGGCTACTCGAGCCAAGTTTGTGTAAAGTATTCGAGATACACCTCCAGGAAACGTATAAGGAGATGATTTACGAAATATATGTCCTACGTGAGAACAGGGGGCGATTTCAATACTACCACCACATTGCCAAACCTGTTAAACATTAATCATGTGATAACTTTGATTAAATATGACATGAAATATATTTTCTAGCATACTCTAAATGACAACTCAAGATTTTCTCCACCCCAGATTTCCATTTTCTCATCATAACCACCGATTTCAAAAAAATACGACTTATCCATTGCAAACAATCCTCCTGCCATGGCTGGTGTTTTAAATGCTTGAGTAATATCTTTATGTCTTTTCATTACATCAGAAGTGGACCGCGTATACCATCGAAAATGTAAGTCCCAGTTAAACGCACCCCAATGTAATTCAAAACTTCTAATATAAGCAAATGTCTCATCACTAATAATATCAATAACTGGACATACTACACGTTTTCTATCTTCTGCCACTCGAATAACTAGACTTTCCAACCATCCTATACAAAAGATATTAAACCATTATGAAAATTACTATAATAAACATTAAATAATCACAAATGTTAAGAAAAATGTACTTTATAATAGTTATTAAATATTTTTAACTCTTTTTTAAGTTTGATACAAAGCAGAAACGCAAGCAAATCGGAAGGGGTGGCTTAGCGCTCCTCCAAAATGTTATAAAAGTGACATATATGATTACATAAAAAAATTTAGAGAAGAGAAAATTAACAAATGTGAGTTAGCTCTTCCTAAAAATTGATTAAAATTGTACATTTGATGCCAATCTTTAAGTTTTTATCAGGATAAATTACTTTTATGTCTATCAATAAAAAAAGTCTCTACTTTTACAAGACGTATAATCGGTCGCTTAAGTAAAAAAAAAAAGTTTTTAATACTCTACTAAAAAAAATTTGTTTATAAATCATAAGTCTTAAATAATAATTAAAAAGATTTTTTATCAAATTGTGTTTTATAATGATCATGTTAATTACTATCATATATCAATTTATACTTATCCTAATTATGCTGGATTTTGGTTGTACAGGTTTTTTTTTTTTAATAATAAATGGAAATAAAATTTGGATTCACATTGATATTTAAAATTATAACTAAAAATAAACTTTATTGATTTTAATATAACATACCAATAGTGCATTCGCAATGAGCGTCAAGAAATACTAGTATTTCACCCTTCGCCTTACGCGCTCCTTTTAAACGTGCTTTGATTAATCCAATTCTAATTGTCGATCGAATAATTTGGACGGAAATGGGTAAATTAGCAACATAATTATCTAATTCTTCACCTAAAAAAGCTAAAAAAACATAATAAATAAATTCTGTTCAGTAAAGGAAACACAAAATTAGGACATACTTCGAGTGCTAGCATCGTCGACTAAAATTATTTCATTAAGAAGAAGTCTTGGAGTACGGTTTATAACGCTATGAATAGTCCTTAACAGTGTAGACCAAGCTTCATTGTGAAAAACAATTATTACAGAACTAGACGGTAGGTTGTCTTTATCAATATTTTTCAATTTACAACTGTAAAAAAATGAATGTAACATGATTTCTAAATAATCTCAATCCATTCCATATTACGATTTTTTTCTAACATCCGGAAGCGATCTATTGAGTGGTATACGGTCACTAGCCATCAAGTTAAATCTATTAATCCTGTAGAGTTTCTGCATTTGAACAGACAAATAAGGCGGTATAACAACTGGCACTCCATCTTCACCTTCCCTAGGCTTTGGATCGAACATGTTTCGATTGAGTAACTCTAAAAGAATACAGAGTTGGATTTTATCACGTACCAAATAACAGTTAGAATAAAAATAAATAACAAAAATATTAAAATAAATATCAAACAATACACATCTATGTAAGTTAATTTAGCGAAAATATAAAACCTTCAAATAAACGTTTATTATTTTTTTTAATTTAAATATTTTCGTTAAACAATAGAATATTCTAATGAAAGAATAAAAAATTTAATGACATCGTAAAATTGAATTTTTATAAAGTTATATAAATATATACTATATACTGTATACTGTATAAGTTAATTTAGAAATAAAAGATTATCAAAGATACTTTTCTTAATTTAAAAACGATACGATACTTTATTTTTGTCCAACATTTTCGTTAATATTTGAAGTTTAATACATACCATCAGTAAGATTGACAGTTGAATCAATATTATTAGCATCGCCCAAATAATGACCAACCACAACATGAAGTCCTCTATGATCTACGTACTCTTGTTGATCTTTTTTTAATCTATAAAATTAGAAGAATTACAATAATATGCTAAAAAATTATTTTTTTCTTAAATAAAATTTCGCTCTAATTTCAAATAAAATAGATACAGTATGCTAAAATACATTCAAATATTATACAAACATACAAAACAAAATTAATGATTTAATCTAAATTTTTAATTATGATTTTCTTTTTCAATATCATTCCATTTCCAAAAATCTTTTGTTCGAACTATCAATATTCGCTAGAATATTAAATATCATTAAAAACAGCACTTAAGTAAATGAAAGAGCTATGACATACAGATGAATGGGTAAACAAGCTGAAACTACAGGCGATTTGTGATCTATTGAACCAATGTGATTTATATAAATCTAAAAACAAATTTATTGAATTATCTTAATATAAGTTTTCTTATAAATATATTTCAATTGTTGTTTAATATCTCGTCTGTAAATTAAAATTAAGATATTTTAAAATATCCAGTAATTTATACATCAGCAGTCAACAATCATTAAAATATTATTTTAATAATCGTTAACCTCTTACGTTGAAAGTATTGTTTTTGTTTTCATTATGTTATAAAATGCAATGAGCGTGGCAGAATATCTTATTGTTAGGTACTTTCGAACGAGGTTATCCGTTTTAAAATAATGTAATTACAAAAATAACCAAATGTTCACGAGTCGATGCCGAGATGGTAAGTTAAAATTTGAGAAAGAAATTTTATAATTAAACTGTAGTTCACTCAACCGACATACTACATGCACACTAATTTCCAACACCACAGAAACAGATTTATACTCGGCAAAAAATCGTTTTATAAGATGCTATTGAGTGATGCAAAACAATCTCATCAGCTACATAAATAATTGTCTTTAAAAATTCAGTTTTTTTATTTCCATTGAGGTGATAGATTTGTCACGTAAAATCAAAGCGGGAAATTACGACGCGTCGTTTATAACCGAAAACGGTTTCCTACTTTAAGTGGTTATTTGGGAGCCAAATTCAATAATATAGCATAGAACAATAGTATTGCGGTTTCTCATCATACTATCATTATACATTGTTTCCGATCAAATCGCCGCAACAATCTTGGTCTGTTAACTTTTTTCTGTATTCAATTCTTTAAAGATAGAATAATAAATGAAAATTATCCCTTTTTTGTCGATCGTCATGGCAGCCACGAACATCAATTGAATTCCTTTTAGCAGGAAATCCGTACGCACAGTTATTGTTATTTAGTTTTTTCACTTGATTCTACGTAGATCATATACATTGCGTTATAAAAATGGAATAACTTGTTTTTCATATTGTATCTAAAAAGTCAGACAAGTTATGAATTCCAAACAACTCCCATTAATATAGCTTACGCTTGGCCACTTTTACGAACATGAACAACAAGACGCCGAGCTATCAGAACACATTTTTTAAAACTAAACATATACATGCTATATGCTATACAATAAATTAAGGTTACATATATTTTTATTATCTTAATTAGTTTTCATTGTGTAACTGCTAAACTCCTAATTTCCTAATAGTAAAATTATTTTGCTATGAAAAATTGATAGAATTTTGACACAACATTAGCCATTGCAATTGCCATCATTTTTTTCTACCAACTCAAATAAAGTCAAAAACAATTATCGACCTTAAATGACATTGTAATTTTTCTAATTACATAAATTACCAATAATTGATGGAAGTCAAATACATACACTAACTACCTCATTTTTGATGAGTTGGATACAGAAAAGTTATATCTATTTAAATGGGTAAGCAAATATTAGAAGACATTCAATTGTGATTTTACTTATATTTTAGCTTCGATGCGAAGCTGAGAAGGTATTGATTTTACTAAGATGTGTTTTTTTTTTTTATTATTTTTNTGAGAAGGTATTGGTTTTACTAAGATGTGTTTTTTTTTTTTATTATTTTTTTTTTTTTTTGTGTCTCTTACCACTATTTCTCAGCTCTCACCGATTTCTTTCAATGATACGTCAAAAGATTACAAATCGTATCTAGTCGAAGACATTATTCTCAAAAATTGAAAAAAATTCCCTCGTTCCCCGTAAATGGAGGAAACCTCCGAAAAAATTACAAATTTAAAAATAGCTAATTTTCGACATTTTTTCATTTTTTTTTACTAAAAACTGCCGTAACTTTTTTAAAAATAAACATATCAATATAATTTTTTTTTTATAGATGCATGATGTCATTACCTATCATTTGGTATATTTTTTTTATAAATCTGACTTTTTACCTGCCTACAGGGGGGGATTCAAAATGACAACTTTTTTACAAAAAATTAATTTTTTCAACTTAACTTTTGAAAGTGTTCCGGAAGGTCTGACACTTTTATATATATCTTAAATTAAAGCTAATGTAATATACTTTATCATGGAAAAAAAAAATTTCGGACTTTATTTTGTCTTCACGGTGAAAATGGCTACCAAATGCTATTTTTGTGTGAAAATTCTCAATTTTATTTTTTACATTTTTAACTTTATAATGCTATAACTTATTGAAAAGTGTATTGATCAATATAATTTTTTTTTGGGAAATACTATTTTTTAATAATCCCTTTTTCATTCAACATACTTTATCTTAATCAGGATATTAATAAGGAACCAGCAGATCATGTAGCTTTTGGAATAAAACACCAATTTTTTTAAAATTTAACACTATCTAAAGATTTGCATCGAAGCGTTTTTTATGATAGTGATTTTAATCACTGTCAGATATCATTATATTTGATCCAACTATGCCACGTCACCACTGTGCCGCGACCCCTCTGTGCTGGGTTTTTTTTTTTATAATAGTTATGCAAAATAATGTTTGACAATTTAATAATCTATTAGCAAAATAGCGTACATAAAAAAATATCAGGCCGACTAAGCCATGGCCTGGCCTAATATTTAGAACCCTTTCTTAATAATAAGAGTAAAACTTGACCGGGTTGTATTTCACTGGAATAATGTCATAAAATTTTTGAACTTAAACTAATGTATGAATTTTATATGAGCAAATAATAATACTATTAATAACAAAAAAATCCTCAACAACAAGAAATAGCGTTTATAATTTCTTGCTGATTTGAAATACAGTAGTCAGTAGTCTCTCATTTTATCAATGTAAATGATTATTACGAACCATCCATAGTGATCTTGTAGACATTTTTTTGATTATACATTCAATATGTAACTAATATATTTATAAGAAGTATTCAAACATTCTTTAATGCATTAAAACTACAATGATTCAATCAAATTTAATAACATATCTTGGAGTAATAACTAAAAAGTTTTAAAAGGTTGACAAATTTTTATAGAGTTGGGATCTCGGAAGTAATCCAAATAAATTTTTAAATGCATAAATTCCCGAACTCTAGTTATTAATATTCAAAACAAAATTTAAAAACAAATGACTAACAAAAATGTATTTTTGAAATTACTAGTTTGTAAACCTGTTTCCATTTAAAAAATTAATGTTAACACCCTCATAAGGTTTTATAGATGAACCGATAATATAAATATAATATAAATCGTTGAATAAATATTACTTAATAAAAAACATTAAGAATAATTTTGAATATATGAACATATTTAATATTTAACTATTACCGAATAATACCGAATTAGCTATTTCTAGGCACTGTGGCTACGAAGAATCGAGGTGCCTATGGACGATTGGATAATATAAAAAAAAATCATGCGTGGAATAAAAATTTTACAATTTTCGACAGCGTAAAGTTTCTTGCGATGGGGTTGTATTATTACTGTTTTTGTTGATAATAATCTAATATTAAATATCGTTTTATCAGGTAACTAACCGATTTATGTTACCGTTGAATTAAATACCATAAGAAAATAGTACCGTCTTATTGTTATTATTTGATTTTTATGAAACCGGTCTGTTTGATCATTTTATCATGTCATTCAAATTCAATGGACATTATAAAAAAAAATTGTTGTTGCATGTTTAAAAAAAAAGATTTTTACTTTTTTAGGAACTAGAACTTACTCACAACTAAAAAGTTGGAAGAAACTAAGAACAGTTTTAAATTAGTATAAAAATTGATTTAGATTATTTTTTTTTTTTTTATCTAAAGTAATTTAGAATTAAATAAAACCGTATTTTTTGTACAACTAAAAAAATGATTAGGTTCTTTAACGTCAAAATATCAACAAGGGTCTACAATATTTTAATTTTATATAAAAAATACAATAATGTGCTAAAAATATATTAAAAAGAAAAAAGATGATTTTACCATAATTTTGAAAATTATGTATATTTTTTATTATACAATGTATACAAAAGTAATTTAATAATTGTAAACTACTAAATTTCTCCTAAAATAATAATTTTGAAAAACTTTTAAGCCACATAAATCGAGAAATAAATACTACTTAAATAAGCTAAACAAATATTTTATAAAATTATTAATATTATATAATGTTAAATTATTCACTCTGTAGAATAATCGCGTAGGCTAATTACGTAAGGCGATCATATAGTTTGATAAAAGCAGTATAGAAATGGACAACAGAAGGAAAAAGATTTAAAACAAAGATAGATTAAGTCAAAAAACCAATTGGAAATTGGAATTCTGGATGGAAAATCGGTAGCAGAGGGTAAAAATAATTAGAAACAGGTATGTGTTGTAGAGCAACGGACTCTGAAAATCCAAAGAAGAAATTAATTTTAATTATTATATTTTTTTATTTAATAAATTTACAAATTTACAAATAATTATTATAATTAATAAAGGATAAATATCTAATATATTTTTTACTAAATACTATTTTAAATTCTCTCCCAAAATTAATCGTAGCTACGTGTGTAATTTGAGATAACCGTATTAAAATTACTGTTTTTAGTTAGAAAACTATAGTTATGATATAATTTCGAATTTAAAAAAACTATTGTGGAATAAATCTGTAACCATAATCTAAGTTTTAGGAATTTATTGTTGTAAAGTAGGTAAATCAAATCTGATTCAAATTAGAAATGCACATCATTTTCCTTTATTATATACTAAAAATGTAATTCTTCATGAAATTATTCACTGCTTTATATTGCTGCACGTACATTGCATTATTTTACATGATTTTATCTAAAATCGTGATCACCTTACTAATATTTTTAAGCAACGGGACAATTTGAGAAAATAGATTTTCTCAAGGACTGCGTCAGATGAACGACCTGTAATTGAAAGTTATTTGTGATCTAAAACCATTATTGCTATTATTTTGATGATACGATAACTGGTAATAACAAAGAACGTTTTGAATAACAAAATGAAGGTATTACAATAAAGCGAATCTTAAGACTGCCTTTTGACGCAAATTATTCTACAGATATAGAACATCGAATTCAAAAAACGTTACAGAACATATTCGTCATTAAAATTAAGAATAATATATTTGCTTTATATTAAAAGTTTTTGAAATAGGAAACTATATGGAATCCATAATTTTACAGTATTAAGTTTTTAATAATAATGAATTTCCTTACTCGCTCTGTGATAAATCCAGGAAAAACAAAAATTATTTATCACACTTAGTTAATCTGGTGAGATGTAATTTTAAATACAGTGTTCATTGTGAAGGTGTTATGAAACTGATCATTTTATGCTATTATGAATGATAAATAAGGATTATCAAGTAATTTTTTTTTTATAAGATACGTCTTTATTGTATTTACAGAGCGATATATACATTTTTAGTAGTATATTTTTGATCCAAGGAACTAGTACTTTTAAAGCACCTTTTAAAGATTATAATATCTAAAATTATAAACTAAATACTTAGATATTGTCATTTCTAAAAATGCATAAAGCCGGATTCCTAAATTTTGTTGGGAAGGAGGTGTCATACAGATATTTACTGGCTTATAACTCATAATAGAATTTTACTGAACAAAACTAGGTCTTTAACGCGTATACAATTATTAATTGGGACTAAAATGGACAAAATTACTGACTTTTAATTCAAATAATCCCATTCCTATATCCCTCTAAAAACTGACTCTGATAATGCTGTACGTAAATTTAGTGATAATTTTTGATAGTTTATCCCTAAAATATTATACTGCCATTTTCTGATTACTGAGTACGATTAAACTCAAAAAATTAAAATTACTAAAGGACTTTAACATATGAGCAGCAAAAAGCCACTAACATATAGTTTTCAGTAGATCTTTTACTACAATATTTAGAAACTTTGTCATGGTATTCTGAAAACGAGAGCTTCATCCCTTCACCTCTTGCAACTACAAAGATTTATATAAATCATCTCTTTTATTTGTATAAATAAGAGACCGTCTTGCACTCGCTCTCTTGTTAAATACATCATTATCTCATAAATCTAGTTTTGACTTTATAATAAATGTAACTGATAAATTCGGCCACCCTTAAATGCGTCCATGATGGTCACTAAAAATTGTAGTAATAATTTATAGATCTTAATTTCTATACACTCGTATAAAAAGCATGAAGGTTAAATTCCTCAAATTTTGCCAATTAAAAAAAAAAAAAAAAAATCTAAAAAGTTTGTCTTACAGAAATAATAAACATTTTGTTATTTTAACTAGAAACTGTAGTTAATTCATAATTCAACTGTAGTTATTTTTAGGTATTTCAAATTAGAATTTAAATTTTATATACTATTACATTTTCAAAAGAACGCCTGAAATTTTATCTAAAATGTTTAAATATGTTCATGATAAAGGAAATTACTCTATCAGATTTTGTTTAACATAAATTCCTTAATAAATAATAGATTTGTGTCAATTTTCCCTGGAACCAACATGACGCGATCTCCCCTATAATATATAATAAAACAATAGGTATTTTAAAATATGTTTATTTTTATTAATTTATAATTTTTTAAATTATAATTGCAATAACCGTTAAAAAGCATTTTTTAGTATACCTAAACATTTTTAAAGGGGCTAGGTCTCCAAACTTGTCAATTTGGTCCTATGAATATTAAAGAAGGGAAATCAAATTAACGCCCCCCTAAAAAAACTTGTATTATTTAATTATTTATTAATAAAAATAATTGAACCAATTTATTTAAGTGCGTTAAAGAAATTTTAAAGAATTGTTATGGCTAGTATCCAAAATATTTCTAAATCATTTAAGGATGAATCATTTACATTTTAGTATAGAAACTATTTTGTTTCAAATCAAGAAAATATCTACATGTTACCCTTTTTATTTTTACTAATTTTTTATAGTTTCCAAAATATTTGGGCAGGTCAAGATATTTGGTGTAGTAACGCACACTGATTTTAATCCAAACAAATGGGTTTTACATGAAACTCAAAATTTTCAACACAATTAACTCTACTACCCAACTTTGTAGTAATCCATTTATAAGCTTTAGTGAACAAAAAGTCTATTAAGTTCTTTAAGAATTGAATCATGAAGACGGAAACTGTTACAAATTTCAAATTACTTAAATATTATACAGGAGCGTCATTTCAATTTTTTATTTCAAATTTAAAAATAAAAACGTAATTAATTATAAATCAATAAACACAGTAAAATTTATAAATGTAATTATAATTATTTAGTAATTTTGAGTTACTCGACCCTGGTAGTCAAGTATCATGTACCTTAGTGATATCCAATCGTTTTGCAGAGATGGATCTATATTTGCTCGGCTGTTTTTCGACCATAACAGCAAACCAGAGGTAAACACAAATACTAAAGCCCACGGCAATCCACGACGAAACCTTCTTCGACAACCCACCATTTTTCAGCACACATCCCACGTTGGTATTGACAAAAATCACGGCATCATAAAAATAACATTAAAAAACGACAACTTAAACAACAAACAACTCTCACTGACGGGCACACAGTCATTACTGACGAAACACCACACATACAAATGTCCTCACGACCGTGACGGGTCTAAATGGAAACAAGTAGAATCAACAGGCCAAATCCGTTGGAATAAGAAATAACTACAAGCTACATAACATGTATAAGGTAGAGTCGATAACGTTGTGTTTGTGGAAATGGTAGCTAGTACCTAGCGCTATCTACCAATAATGAGGAAACAAGTAAAATAACTTGCCATTTTTTATTTGGATTTTTTGAAAAAAAACTTAATTTATAAATTTTTCCATATTTTATTTTTTTCTTTCTTGCTAACTATTCTGATGACCTAGGCTTCGGTCTAGTCATATTGACGCAACGGCACCGTACATAAAGCTTTTAGGACTTGGACAATAATAATCTTTTGAAGTAATAGGCGAACATTAAGTAAAATTTTTTAAGAAACTAGAATAATATTAAAAATAGTTATTGGAAACTAACGTACAATAAAAATACAAACAAAACTTCGTTTTTAGGGGCTATTCAATTTCTATGGACCCATAGATTGTAGTGCAATATAAGTAGAAGCAATCTTGTCAACAGGCATAATGGTTTTACCTGAATACATTGATTTAAGATTTCACTAGTAGTCCCACAGTAAATTATTCATTCCGACATTAGTTTATATAGTCAAGAAAGTAAATCATGGTGGGACATTCTGTACAGTATATATTTTTAATTTTGTATAAAATATTTTTTTACATTGCTAAACTAAATTTTTTAAATAGAATAGTATTGTACTTAGTTGCTATAATTTATTATTATATTGCTTATTCATTATATTTTCAGGTTATAAATTAAAAATTTGATACAAGTTGGAACTGTCTAAAAAAAATTGTTATTTTCGTTTTAATATTATTAAGTTTGATATATTGTATTACTAACCATGTTATGACTATTAATGTAATTTATTTATAATCCCACATGAATAAGTCACATCAATCAATAGAGAAAAATAATGTTAGTTATATTATTTAGAGAGAAAAATATTTTTTGGTCATTTAAGAACTGGAGCCTCCCGCCCACAAGTTCAAAAATATATTTGCGCCAATAATTTCCAAACTATTTGATAAAAATATTTTAAATTTGGCACCCAAAAAGTTGATCTAAAGAAGCCACTGACTAATAAAATAAATTTAAAAAAAGTTAAGAAAAAATTCTTATAATGTTTATCAAAACCAAATTTCTGGAAATATCACATATAAGATTAATTTATACCTAATAAATCTAAAATTAAGTGTGAAACATATCTAACTGACAACTTATAAAACTTTTGATACAATTAACATTTCACTGTAATTTTTTCTAAATAATTTATGCATTCATGGATTATTTTAAAATCATATATTTTATTATTTATTTTAAATAATAAAGAAATTTGTTTTTATTATTACAAGCATTATAACACATAGTTGGTGTGTAACTTTAGTAGAAAACATGTTAAAAATATATACCAGTACAAAATACACACATCTAGATTACATACTTTATGTATTAAAATTCTTCAACTCGATAACAACTCGTATTAAAATAAACAGCTTATTTGAAAATTTAAAAAAATAACAAACATTTTTTTTATTACTAAAAATAAATAGTAAAAAATATGTTTTTAACATACTTTAAAAATTCTAAAATTATTACAAAATGATTATTGAATCAATAGTTATTAGTTATCAGTTAGATCAATTCCACTCTGTATATTAAATTTATTAGAAGAGTAAAAGACACTTTTAGTTAAAGACCAAATAAGGTAATTTTATTATCTTTAATCAGAGGTGTCGTGGAGCGTATACGCGGGTATACGGTGTATACCCACTTCTTTGTTTTTCTGTTATTGCGTATACTTATAAAATCATGAGTGATACGCGGGTATACGGCGTATACCCACTGTTAGTTTTCTTATTAGTGCATATACGTATTTATAAAATAGTTGAAGAGTATAGACTAAAGAATAAAATAAAAAGAAACTGGAGGCAGGTATAGCCGGCGCCAATAAAAAAAAACAATCTGTTTTAACGCACACAACTAAAAAAACCGCTACGGACGAAAATTAGCGTACCAGTTCCGACGATGGCTAATTCCAACAAAATGTCCGGCGTTTGACCCGGCAGTCCGTTGGCGACAACACGACTAGCCTTTAAAGTAGAGGTAAAAAAAAAACTAAATACCCAGTGCCGGAAATTAATAAGAACAATTTAAATCATAAGGCGACAATATATGCGGTGAGCAGTGCAAATAACGTTCAAGATAGGAAAAGAGCGGGGTGAATGTACACACAAATGCCGTCCATGAACCGGTCCGAAGTAGTACACAGCTGATTATCTCGCGCGCGCACAAACTGATAAATGCCGTCGCAATACGCATTCAGCTCAACACAAATATATATATATATATGTCTATACAAATAGACAAAAAAATAAATAGATACTTTTTGTCACGTTACAAATATAACAGTATCTAATAATACACATATCGATTATATTACTATGAAATTTAATTATTTAAGAACTTAGAAGTGTCAGTAAAAATATTCGAGTAATAGTTTGGAAATTGGAAGGAGCAAGGCCGTATCTGGGAGGGTTAGGAGTTTTAGTTGCATTATGTAATATTTAGAAAATACATATTTTTAACACAGTTAAAACATCACAATATTTTTATTCCGTCCCCCAAAACTATGTTATAGTTAAGGCCTTTGAAAAGTAGTGTGGGGGTGAAATACTCCACGTTTCCTCATATAGGTTTTTAACTTATCTATTGATCAAATTACGACTATATCACTGTTGATAATGTATAAAGTTAAAAGTTCAACAAAATAATTGTGAAATATTGTATGTAGAAAATATAAAGTGCAATGGGGGGTGTGGGGGGCAGAGCCCCCCACGTTATTCTCTTTTCATAATATAGGTGTATACCCATAAAAATTTTTAGGACTACACCACTGTATATCATATTTTGTATATGATCTATTTACATAAATATATTGCCATTATATGGAACTAACTCATAGATAAATATATTGTAATACATATTAACTAATTTTTTTTTAATTATAATAATTTCATAACTTTTTAGGAAATTGCAATATGGTACAGTAAATTTTTTATTTTAATCCCTATATTTGAATTTTTTTAATTTAAAAATTTAAAGGTCAGAAAAACTAATTATAAATTTCACTAAACACACTGATCATTGGACCTTTTCAATTTTTCTCTGGAAGTCATTCAGAAATTGTAAATAATGATCAAGTGCTGATATTATTATGAATTAACATTTTATATAAAAATTTCAAATCAGTTGTTATATAACATTATAAATATAATAGATTATATTTCTAAGTCATCATCAGGATCTTCTTCGTCCCAATCATCAGCTTCATCAGGAATATAATGAATTATTCCACCACAATTGGTATTCTGAACCCTTAAATAAAAATTTATATCAATACAATAATAAAAAACATCGGAACAAATAAAAAATGACAAATTTAGTTTATATTCAGTCTTATATATAAATAGACTTAATTATTAACTTATTAGAAATTAAGTGATGTCAATAACCACAAACTAATATTTTTTATTTAAAAGTAAAATTTGAATTAACATTTCAAGATAAAAAGTGTCTAATATTCTATGAGAAACAAAATTAAAGTGTATATAGAGTGTAATTTATACAAATACTATCTCCATTTTTTTATAACCATGTATTTAGAAATTTTATGCTCTAGGTAAAGAAGAAAAATCACCCTCATTGACCAAAACTTACTCTACAATATTTAAAAAATATATCTTATGATCAGACCAGTGCATATTTCTCATAGAATCTAGAAGCATAAAATGTATACATAAAAATTCATAAATTCAAAATCATTAGTATAATACATTTTTTGTAAATTATATATAGGAATAATATATAATTCTGTGAATTTTTACCTGTACACATCATATATATAAAATTATAATCTAAGATTCATATTATTTCAAATAAAATAAAGGAGAAACTTGAATTTCAATAATTGAAACATATACAGAATTTAAGCATAGACACAGAACATTCGGAAAAACAAACTTTTTGATTTTTTTAACACTATGAAGTTCCAAAGTATTGAGTATTTTCATTGTTTATTTATAGTTTACTTACTGAGTATACGGTAAAATTAATTTGTCCTTAGCTTCCCTTTCACTCTCTTCTAGGACCAACTTGAAACTAGCTAAATTTACAGGTAAACTTTTTTCATTTGAAATTTCTTCTATATTTTGTGGTGAATTGACTATCAGTTTGAAATTACCATCAGATTTAAGTTTACCATTTAAATTCTTTTGTACATGAATTGAATAATTTAAAAATTTAGTTTTTTAGAATAAGACAGTTAAGTTATATCTTACTTGCGATGCACATTTTCCATTAGATCTTTTATGTTCTAAATTCAATTGTAACATTGTTGTATCACCTAAGTATTGAACATGAATATAAGTATTACATAACTTTTTTATATGTTCAACTTCAACTTCTTCTGTAATATCCTCATGAACTATTGAAATTATTTGTGCAAAATTAGGCACTAATAATTTAAATATTGAAACGATATATTAAATTAGTAGCTCTCTTTATATTATTGTTTTACGTCAATTTTTTTTTATTTACCTGTTTCTAATGAAATTAAGTCAAGTAATTCCTTATACACAATACACAGTTTTGTATGCAGTAAACATATTGATAGAGAATCAATAATTAATATTACTTTTTTTTTGGCATTTTTTAAAATTCTATCTGCAATTTCTCTAATACTATGTTTTTTATTTTTAAAAGTTTTCATACAATCATGAAAGTTTATATTTAAGGTAGGTGAAAATGAAATTTCATATTCAGAAACTAATTTTTCATAACATAACAAATGAACTTCATGGTTATTTCTGTTTTCAGCAATACTTTTTAGTATAAATGATCCTTTTGCTAAATATGAATCTAAACAATAATATTAAACCTAATAAATCTAAAGCATAATTTTTTGTTAGAAACGATATAAATATATCATTAACATTATTAGAACTTACCAGTAATTAATATAAACTTACTGGCATGAGTACCTTTAATTACTGTATCATAAATATTCATTTTTTTCAAGGTATAAATTAAAATATTTAAATATGAAGTAATAATTATATGTTAATATAAATTCAACTATATGCATATAAAACATAAAAAACAAAGTTAATAAATGATATACATAATTTGTGAGGCCTGCACTTCAAAACTTATAATTAACATTCATTTATAAATCTTATAATTTTAGTTGCACCTAATTTTAAATTCGCGTGATAATAATCGATAAAAAAAATGAATTTCTTATCATGATTTATTAATACAAATAATGATAGTTTATCAGGTTTTATTATCAATTTTTTTAAGACTTAACCTAGAAATTTATGTTGTTTACACTGATTATTTAAATACTTGATAATAAAGTTGGTGATGTGTTGTCTACTGTTCATCTACTAGGAGTAATCGTTTTTTGTAAAATACAAAATATGTATTTCTATCAACTGAAATTGTTTTATATTAATGTGTTTTAATGTTGAGTTAATATTAAATTTATTTAATTACATGACATTGATGGTTTTTCACAGCTCTCTTGCACCTTTACCTGATACTGGCCAACCAACTCTGTTATGATCTTATTTAAGTAGGAGGTTTTTGTAAATTATAATTTTTTAATCATGTTTCGTAGCAAATTTCGTCTTCAAACTTGTAAAATAGTCATAGCTACGTCATTATTATGGATTTTCATCGATATTATAATACTAATGTATTATCCAGAATGCATTGGTCCTAACTGTAAATCAAAAAATAATCCAGATGAATCAATTGAAGTAACACCTCTAGCTAGAATGGGCTGGGGTCCAATGCAAAACAATATGCTTGATCGTTTTAAACACCATAGTGATAACTCAACTTATCCATCACATACATTGAAACACTGGAAACCTATGCCTCCAGTACGTGAAAAACATGGGAGACATGGTGAAGCAGGAAGAGGAGTTACAATGAGACCAGAACAAGAAGTCATAATGAAACAGAAATTTAAAGAAAATCAATTTAATATTATGGCTAGTGATATGATTTCATTGAATCGATCCTTGCAAGATGTTCGTCAACCAGATTGTAAAACAAAAATATATCCTAAGCTTATGCCTACAACTTCAATTGTCATAGTTTTTCATAATGAAGCGTGGTCTACATTAATAAGAACAGTTTGGAGTGTCATTAATAGATCACCACGTTCTTTATTAAAAGAAATAATTCTAGTTGATGATGCTAGTGAAAGAGGTATTATTCATTATTAGTTACTTATTCAATATTATTTAAATGTAAATACAAAAATTTTTTAGACTTTTTGGGAAAAAAACTGGAAGATTATGTAACTACTTTGCCTGTTAAAACAAAAGTACTAAGAACTGAAAAACGTTCAGGATTAATCAGAGCTCGTTTATTAGGAGCTAAACATGTTAAAGGCCAAGTAATAACATTTTTAGATGCACATTGTGAATGTGCTGATGGGTGGTTAGAACCATTATTAGCTAGAATAGTTGTAAATAGGTTAGTCATTTTAGTTAATTGTTAAAATCGAGTTGATTGTAATTTTTATGAATTAATTATTTTTTATTTAGAAAAACTGTTGTTTGCCCTGTTATTGATGTAATTTCTGATGATAATTTTGAGTATGTCACTGCTTCTGACATGACTTGGGGAGGATTTAATTGGAAATTGAATTTCAGATGGTAAATTTAATTTATATAACTTTTTCATTTGTGAGGTGTTTTATACGTAGTATATGTTATAGGTATCGTGTTCCTCAGAGAGAAATGTTGCGCCGTAATAATGACCGTACGGAACCCTTAAGAACACCTACAATGGCTGGTGGATTATTTTCTATTGATAAAGAATATTTTTATGAGTTAGGTTCTTATGATGAAGGAATGGATATTTGGGGAGGAGAAAATCTTGAAATGTCTTTCCGTGTAAGTATTTCAAATTAAAAATTATAATTCTTCAAACTTCAAACATTTGAGTTTATATCTTACGTATTTAATTCTTTGAAAAGAGAAGTATAGTTTTCATGTACAGAAATACAACCATAACAACTACCACAAACTTTTATATTAAATCAATTTTGTTTACTTGATTTATCCAAAAATTTTATCTGGGGGAACCGTGGTTGATATGAATATTTTTAGGTATGGCAATGTGGTGGTACATTGGAAATTATACCATGTTCACATGTAGGCCATGTGTTTCGTGACAAGTCACCATATACATTTCCGGGTGGTGTATCAAAAATTGTTTTACATAATGCAGCTCGTGTGGCTGAAGTTTGGATGGACGAATGGAGAGATTTCTATTATGCAATGAATCCAGGTATAGGATATATCCCATATGAAGCTCTTTTGCTTTCTAAAAATTACTAACATTTTGTAGATCAACCTAACATTAATCTGCTCGCTAACTGGCATATTTACATTACCTAAGTTTTAATAACTCATAATGGGTTTTGTTATATTATACCTTGACAATATAATTTTAAAGTTACATTTGTATGCTTATACTTATAGTCAATAATATGAAACAAATTTAAAGATATTGATATTTCAATTATAACTTTGTTTATAAATGTATATGTATTACTTTCTAAATAATTTGAAGTAAAATAACCTATAATTGTTTGGGCAATGTATTATTATTATCTTGTAACTTCTCAAAAAGTTTGTCATGATATTTACAAAAATATCACATTGACAAATATTAAATTGTATATTAGTAAGTAATTATGTAACAACAAAAAAAGTTCAACTATTTAATCTAGATAATATGTTCTTTTTAATTATGTTTTTTATAATTTATTATTTTAAATATGACTAACAATTTACCAGTCTTGGCAAATTACTTTATTTATTAACATTTTCATACCTAGGTGGCAAGAGAAACGTGGCCAAGACATGTCTAATGATAAATATTGACATATCCACGTCTCTCCTCCAGTCTATATTTTAAAATGCTAATAATTTCCAAAATAATAGGTAAAAAGTTGTTATTAGTCAATAATTTTCTTAATTCTATTATTTTCTATTTTATAAGCTAGCTAAATATATATATATATTTCCATTAAAAAAAATTAATTTTATACCCTTATAAAATATAAGTCATAGAATAAAAATATATTAAATGATTGATATTAATCAATAGAATTTTTTATTTAACCACATCAATTTTGAAATGTTTAAGATCATTTAGTATTTTTAGCAAATTAAAAAATCGAGAGAGATATAAAACTAAACAAATCAAGAATAATTTTCTTAACATAATTATTAATTTTAAAAAATTGAATATTAACATTAAATGAACCACTCTGTTTAACACATCCTCAAGAAAAAATTAGATTTCTATAAGGCATAAAACTATATGTGATAAATTAAATAATAATTCATAACAATTAATGGTACATAAACACATGAATTTTAATTTTCATGAAAAATAACAATATTGGAACTATTATTACTATTATTATTATTATTACTATTATTATTATTATTTAATTTTTAACATATTAGCAACTTGAAATTCTACTTAATAAATATAATTAAATTGATTTTATATAGTCATTTTAGAAAATGTAATTAAATTACCTAAATTTTTTATTATATAAAGATTTTATAAGAATAACAAGTAATTTAAGTTTCTTTACTACCCAAGACTTCCTTTTACTATATACATTGAAAGAACATAAGCGTATATTGAATAATTTTATGGAGGTCCTTGACGTTTTTATTTTTATAAACAATTGTTAAATTGACAATCCAAAAAAAAAATATATATATATTCATAGATTTGGATGTGTGGTGGAACCCTGGAAATATTGCCATGTTCTCATGTTGGCCATGTTTTTCGAAAATCCACTCCATATACATTTCCCGGTGGTACATCACATATTGTCAACCACAACAATGCGCGCCTTGCTGAAGTTTGGATGGATGAATGGAAATATTTTTACTACGCTATTAATCCAGGTATCCCTTAATCAAAATAAATCTAATTTCCCAGCACTTTCATCTACACTATGTGTGATGCGTTTTTCACTGATAGCACAATAATAAATTGAATATACATATTTAATTATTCCATAATTTGTAGAATTGTCATGTTTTATATTTAGTTTTTAGGTTTAAAAAAATTATTAATTTGCATTTTTTATAGTCTAAAGTCACATTAAAAAATATAATAATCTAGTTTATTCGGCTATTTGAAATTTCCAATATAAATAAATTAACAAAATTGGGTAGTTATATTATTAGTTCAATACTTAAAATTTATTCTACTTGTGTATCGTACTATAAATGTTGTGTTCTTAAATTATGAGTTACATTTGATTTTAATATTTTTAATATTAAAACTTTATTCATAAACATAAATATGTAGCATTATTGTAAACTAAAATTTATTAAGTTCTAATACTGATTATGATTTTAATTATGACTCTAATTATGATTTGAAAAGTTTGAGAAACAAATGTTAATTTAAAATTGGATTATGGTTTATCTATTTGATAGGAAATAATTATTTTAAATTATTTCTTATCATTTAAAAACATTGCATGAACCTTAATTAAATAAAAATATTGTATTATCATTGTAAAAGTGGTATTTTTTGCATGTAAACTATTAGGGATAATGTCATTGAATCTATAAAATAGTAGTGCTTGAGCATAAAATATCTGGCTTTTGTTATTAAAATGGCTTTATTTTCTGGATAAAATTACAATTTTAGCAAATCATTTTTGCTCTGTGTTTCTACTTGATTATTGCTATTAAAAATTAATCTTGTTATAATTTTATTTCAAATTTTATAATACCAATTAGAATTTTGAATGCAATCATAACATAATATAACAAAAAAATTATATTTTAGATTATGTCAAATATTAAATTTATTATTAATCCTTATGCTAACAATACATCATTTTATGATTTTTAACTCTGTAAAGTTAAGATTTTTCAAATTTAAATTATAATTTAAAAATAAATTATTTAATTACATTTTTTATTAACATTTAAAAAATAATTTATATTCTTAGTCAATCTTAATAATAATAGTATTTGACAAATACTATTAATAGAACAAAAACCCTCTATTGAATGCTTTTGATTTTTTCTTGCATGATACAAAAATACACTCATAGGATATAACACAATGTAGTATAGTGTGTAAAATTAATAAAATCTTGCAAGAGCATTTATTTTAATTATAAATTTATTTGTTTATATACATAAAATTTTAATAAAATTATATTTTTTGGACTTCATTATACACTTGTATATAATTTAAATATGATAAAATGTTTAGGTGCATCAAATGTTGAAGTAGGGGATGTGTCTGAACGTTTAGCATTAAGAGAAAAATTGAAGTGTAAATCATTTCGTTGGTATTTAGAAAATATTTATCCAGAATCACAAATGCCGTTAGAGTACTATTACCTAGGAGAGGTTAGAAAATCATATAATTATTATGATTTTAAAGTACTTTTAATTAGTAATATTCATTACCAACTTACAGATAAGGAATGTTGATACACAACAATGTTTGGACACTATGTCACGTAAGAGTGGTGAGAAAGTAGGCATGAGTTATTGTCATGGTCTTGGAGGAAATCAAGTAAAAATATAAATATTTTTATTTTATAACAAATAATTAAACTAAATATAGAATAAGTTAGCTTATATTGGCAAATTAAATAAATATAGCGATCTAAATTTTTTATTTTATATTATGTAAAACTGGGAATTAAATGGCATATGAATCATCAGATAAAATTAAAGAAATTTTATCTTAGGTTTGTTAAAGATCCGTTTAATACTTAGAGATCTAGGTTAAAATCAAGAGTCGAAAGCTACACGACATTTGCCCAAATGTTGTCCCTTTCTTCTTAAATAAGTTTTAATTACCTGAAGAAGACATGGCCATTATGTACTTAAGATATTTATGAGTGATAATATAATAAAGTTAAACTATTGTTTTATGTTAATGACAAGGTAAAGTTATATTTTCAATGTTAGGTAAATATAAGTTGCATGTAATGTACAATACGTCTGATCTAAATCCTAATACAGTTGGTTAATAGGTAAAGTAAAATGACAAAGAATTGCTTAGCTATGATTACATTACATTGGAATTAGTTAAATTGTTAAATAAAAGTTAAGTAATAATCACAATAAATAAGATAAAAGTGATAGTATCAAAAACTAATAGCCATTCAAACACTACTGCTTCTTGTTAGTTTCAATATCAGTAGCTCTAGCCTTTTTTTTCCACGACCGGCCTACATGTGGACCGCCTCGGAACTACCGTTAGGTATTACCTCAGGGCGGCCCACGCCGTCTCTAAAACTCACACCACCACGTTGTGAATCAGCCCGAAATTAATCAAGAGCTGATTCACAACGTGATGTGGCCTCCCCCGTTAGCCGGATCCCAAAAGTCGGGATCCGTTGCCCGGGTTGCACCACGTGGAGGTGGGGACAGGACTTTGCGAAGGGGGCGTAATATAACTCACAAACACATAAAGAACATAAACACGAATACCTAAGGCGCCGGCGCACAGTGGGACCAAACGCTGATTTAGCCGGCCAAAAGTACCATTTTTAAATCAACTAATAAAAATTTTTTTTTTAGCAAATTTTTTTTATTATATCCTTATAAGGTCATGTACAAAAATTCAAGGCCAAAAATTGATATAGTAATGGTTGGGTGCTATTTAAATATCATAACACTGTATTTTTTTGTTTTTTTTCTAGGATTTTTATTATTTCTTCAATCATTTTTTCCTGCTTAATTAAAAACCTTAATTTTTTTTTTTTTAATTTAAAATGTTTAAAAAGTCATCGGCTTTCAAATTTACTAAGAAAAAATTTTTATTTCTTTTTTTTTTTAATTTTAATAATTTTTTACACACAAAAAAATGCAAATACTTATTTTACATTGTTTTTTAAAGAGTTTAACTCAAAATTACGCAATATTACGATTACACCAATACATGCATGTTGTAGAAGAACTCTTAAGCTACAATTACAAAAAAAAAAATTTTGCGTCAGATTGCATTTGAGCCCTGCACATAGAATTTCCCTATAATAAACGTGTATTTTTGTAAAAATTGTAATTTTAATAATTTCATTGGTTTTATCAGTTCGATCAACTTTATCAGCTTAAAAGTTGTAAAAATTAGATGTAATTAAAACTAATGATTCGTTAAAATTAAGTTTAAATAAAGTTTTTAATAATATACATAAAATAAAATAAAATAAGTTATACAATTTTACTGTGCCACTAAATATTGTTTTATTTTAGAAATACTATTATATTATTGTTAATATAGTTTATTATTGTTAACACTTACCACATACTACTTGATTATCCATTATTTAAAAATAATAGAATAATTTTTACAACTTTTAAATTAAAACAAAACTGCAATTAATTCACTGTGAAACTTATAAAAAATATGTGCAAATTATTATGACGTGACGCGCCGTTTGTAACATGTAACACAATCTGATTAAACAGAAAAATGTTTTGGTAATAATAGTATTTTATTTTATGTGTATTATTAAAAACTTTATTTAAACTTAATTTTAACGAATCATTAGTTTTAATTACATCTAATTTTTACAACTTTTAAGCTGATAAAGTTGATCGAACTGATAAAACCAATGAAATTATTAAAATTACAATTTTTACAAAAATACACGTTTATTATAGGGAAATTCTATGTGCAGGGCTCAAATGCAATCTGACGCAAAATTTTTTTTTTTGTAATTGTAGCTTAAGAGTTCTTCTACAACATGCATGTATTGGTGTAATCGTAATATTGCGTAATTTTGAGTTAAACTCTTTAAAAAACAATGTAAAATAAGTATTTGCATTTTTTTGTGTGTAAAAAATTATTAAAATTAAAAAAAAAAAGAAATAAAAATTTTTTCTTAGTAAATTTGAAAGCCGATGACTTTTTAAACATTTTAAATTAAAAAAAAAAAAATTAAGGTTTTTAATTAAGCAGGAAAAAATGATTGAAGAAATAATAAAAATCCTAGAAAAAAAACAAAAAAATACAGTGTTATGATATTTAAATAGCACCCAACCATTACTATATCAATTTTTGGCCTTGAATTTTTATACATGACCTTATAAGGATATAATAAAAAAAAATTGCTAAAAAAAAAATTTTTATTAGTTGATTTAAAAATGGTACTTTTGGCCGGCTAAATCAGCGTTTGGTCCCACTGTGCGGCCTAAACCAGCGCCTTAGGTCCTCCTGTACCGGGCGGCGCGGCTGCCTCTGTCTCAGGCCTTCAGCTTCTTCCTTCTTTTTCAAGACGGACTCGGCGAACGCCTGGACGAGCCTCCACGCCTCCCGGCTTCCCAACATCAGGTCTACCATGGACCCGACTCGAAACGTGGACCCTAGTCGAGACTCCAAAGAGTCCCGTTCCTGGGCCCACGCCTCGCAAGTAGCTCTAGCCTACAGACGAGTAAAATGTTCACATCAGCATCTCATTTCCCTCTATGCTAATTAATATATATTACTTTCCTCAGTAACTTTTATAGAAAAAATTAAGAAAATTATTTAAACTAAAAACTTACAGGTTTTTGCATACACAAAACGCTCACAAATTATGTCTGATGATAACTGTCTAGATTCAGCTAATACCTCAGGTCCTGTTAATCTTATAAGATGTCATGGTTTAGAAGGTAATCAAGCTTGGGTATATGATGAACAGGTAAATTAATTTAATAAAATTGTTATAATTACTTAAATTATTTCATGGAATTAAAATCTTTCTTAGGCTTTGACAATTAAACATAAAACAACAGAACAATGTCTAGAACATTCCATGACTTCTGATCAATATACTGCCATATTAAATGAATGTGATGGATCACGTAGTCAACAATGGACAATGAAGAGTAATTTTCATTGGCAAGCAGCCAGCTCAAGTTAATGTAAAATTTAGTTATGTTACAAGTGTTATTAATTATTTGTTTATAAATTTATTTAAATATTTTTATGGGATCAAAAAATTTTTTTATCTGAACAAAAAAATCTACTTAAATAAAATAATGCATCACCTAGCTGATCAGTTCATTAATCATTAATCCATGACAACTATATTTTAATTTTATAAAATACTGTCTAATTCGCTATTTTATGTTTAAATTATAATTACTTATTATTTTTTAAGAAAATGTTGATTTTTTCATTAAATTTTAATGAAATATTCATAAAACAAAAAACACTTGTGATACTTGCATATTATTTAAGATTTATCATGTTATTATGTTATAATAATAATTATATATACAGGGTGTCTCTTACTGATCAGACAATTACACATTAATATTGTATGTAAGATAGTCATATCATCATTAGACATCCTTTGTGTATAATATAGACTATTTTTTATGAAAAAATGTATTCATTAGTTTTAAATTAATGAAATGTTTATTTTTGCTAGGGTTAATCTCATTTAATAATATGTGATCAATTTCGTAAGATATTGTGAGGCTTAAAATAGTATAACTTACATGTATGTATGTATACATACATAAATATATATATATATTTATATTTATTTAATTGCTAATAAAATTTACATTTTGCTGTAAAATAAATAATAAAAAATATGTTTTTAATATAATTTATAAATGCATAGATTATTATACAAAAATTACAGCAAAATGTAAATTTTATTAGCAATTTTACAAGTTATTGGATAGATTTGTTTAACTAAATATATATATATACATACTTTTTTTATATAAATCAGAAACTTAATTAATTATTAGTAAAATTAAATTATTTAAAAAATGTAATTAGCTGCATTTTAGAAATAACATTTTAATAAATCATTATTAATACAATGTTTAAAAAAAACTCCATTAACCTAATATTTATAATTAAAAACAAATTTAATTAATTGAAAATTGCTAATTATTTAATTTATTATTTTTAATTTTGATTAAAATATACTTAAAATTTTAGTCAACTTTATTTCTATTGCAACTGTTTGCCATATGTAATAATTTAAAATTTTATGAAAGTATTGTAGGTATTTAAAAAAAAATATTTTACATCAAGAAATTTGTTTTTAATTCATAAATTATCAAATTAATTGGAATTCTATTCACTTAAACCATAAATAATCAAAAAATTGTTGAAAAAAAAATAATAATTACAATTTATTTCAACTATATTAAATATATAGTTAATACTAGTTTTATTAAATTTTTATTGGTCAAAAGCAATGTTTTTATTATTAAACTACTTATGCAAAAAATTCAATAATAGTAAAATTATTCTTATTGTTATATACTATATATAGTACGTTTTAAATCTAATTAAGTTTGTTTTATTATTTTATTATTTGTGTATCTATCTTATAAAAGATAATATTAATAAGCTCTCACAAAATGTGATAAAAACAATTTACCAATATCATACTTGATAGTGTGCAATTAATAATAACAAACCATTGAAATTTATATATTTTTTTTTATAAGTCTTTTTTTATTTATATTATTAGTTGTGAAATTGGTTTTAATTTTAATAGTATTTTATGTTGTTTATTACTTATATTTTTTAGCCAAAATAAATCAAACTTCACCCACATCTAGTAGTAAAATATATTTGTTTTAGTTATATGATTTAAATTTATTCTTTAGTTGATAACTGATAAAAAAAATGTATTTTAGAATTGTACCTCATTGAATTTACCTACATATAAATAATAAAGAAGAGCATAAAAGAAAATTTCATATCCAATTTTTTGGATTAATATTTCTAGCTTCAATGCGAAGCTGAGAAGGTATTAGTTTTACTATGATGCGTTTGTTTTATTTTTTTTATTGTGTGGTGTGGCTCGATATGACGCCGAGAATATTATCGATATTTCTTTGAATAATTTCGCTAACACTTGTGGACCATTTTTATTATGCTGGCACTCAATGTTATTACTTATCAGAATTAGAGCTTTGATGCGAAACAGAAGAGCTATTAATTTTATTATGATGTATTTTTAGCTTCGATGCGAAGCTGAGAAGGTATTGGTTTTACTATGATGTGTTTTTTTTTTTTTTTTTTT